AATATAAAATTTTCAGTTGCTCATATCTTTGTAAATACTAATGGAATTAAACCATTTTTGAACTTTTTCCATTCATCCTATCTTGGAAAATAATGAATTTAATTTAACAATTTTTGGACATATTTCTTTAAGGGATTCAACTTTTGATGGTATCTTTGTTAGAAATCCCTCAAGAAAATGTAAATTAAAGATATTCACACTGACGTAAATTATTATAAAATGTTGTCTTTAATCTGGACTAACTGGACATATACATGTATATAAATGTTTGTCTTTAAGCTGAGGTAGCTGGACATATAATATAAAGTATATTTGTGATAATATTGTCATATTAGACATTAAACTTATTTTAATCTTTTAAGATGACTTTTAACCCCTGTATCATTATAATCTTTGTTATCTTCATCTTTAGTTGATTAAAGAGACAGTGCCGTTTCTATTTTAGTAGATTTTACCTCACTAGTACAGGGATGTACCTCACTAATTTACCACTTCATAGATTTTGTATAAAATTGAAACAAATATTCTAACAATAGTTGTACCTCATTAGATCAGAGTTGACCATAGGGCAGTTTTTAGTATAAGTTGGTCATGGTTGATTTGCTGGGCTGGAATGTTCCTCAGGATTTTCCGGCCTATTTTCACCTTGTCCCTGGTGCCGGACGAATAAACCAGAAGATCCTGGAAAATTCCTCATGCTGGACCATGCACTGTATGCCATTGGCAACACGTTAAAGCTTTGGGTCAGTTAGAAATTGTCATAAGAGTAGACTACAGTGCTAGTGCAGAGCAAATTTTCCCCATAGCACATGACGTATGCCCATCTTCATTTCATTTTGTGAGCTTGGCTTCAAACAACAGCGTTGTAGCGGGTCTAGGTACATTTATACAGGTCTCTCACTATAATTACCGTACTATACTATAAAGGATCCACTGTATCAATCTTAATTTTTACCTTACACAATCTTTGACCCCAGCATCAGAATAATTACTGTACTATATTATAAAAGAACCCTGTCTTCATTAGCCCAATCAATGCAGAAGAATGAGACATTAAAACCCCATTTCATTTATAAAGGGATACCTGTATCAATCATAGTTTAAACTGTTGAAATATTTCAAGCTTGACTTGTCGTATGTCATATATATGTGTTAGACTTCCGAGGAATATGTATGGCTATTCTAATGATAGAAAAATTGAGGTGTGGTGTTTACATTGTACACATTAAATATTTTTTGACAGCTGGACGGGTGGGCGGAGAAGGTGATTCCACTACTATTTAGCTACATGTATTACATCACCTGTTGTATGTTTATGTCTATATCTGGATATATACTTTATACATATATTGACATTTAAAATACAAATATTAGATATAACTTTATAATATAGATATAACTTTATAATATTAGATATAACTTTAATATCCTGCATTATGGAATCCTGCATCATGTTACCTCCACATCATCACAAGTTTTGCACTGTATAGACTATGATAAAAAATTATGTTAAGAAACTTTGCACAGTAGTCTTAGAATTATCATTGTTTGTGAGGTGTCCTCCGGTTGGATTTACTTGATTTGATATTGGTCCCCCCCCCCCCCCTCCATCCCAGCCCATTCTTTTGGATGCTCTAGAGGCTAAATTTAATATCCGATTGACTTCAATTTCATACACAGTTTTTAAGGTCACAAGATGAAGCACCCTATTGATTTTCAATAATTACCGCCGGAGACATGACCGTTCTTTTTTTAAAAATCTTATGGCTTTAAATTTATACCAATCTGATTAAAATACAGATCTATATATCATATCGTTTTTTTATACTTTCGATGGCCTACACTACATGAAGATCTGACAAGTTATAGCGATAGGTCACGTCAGGGGTCAAAAGACCGACTTATGACCCTATGATATCAGACATTTGATAACCAATCAGCATTGATGTTACTAGTGGATTACCCACAGTTCAGTGATAAACACGCCCAAAGCTCGCCGTAACAGACCGTTTCATTGGCTTATCCTTGATACCATTTAGAACATGAGTTAAATAACAACTCTTCCAGATCCAAGTGTAGTAAAGACAAGTAAAACGAAATTTTGAACTATAAAAACAAAACGAAATATGATCTGTGTTTTAACCAGATTGAATGTGTACACACTGTTTAAGGTTATGAGTTCTTACTAATGCAGATAGATAAACCAATATTTATTACATAAGTGTCACATTTTATCAAAGTTTAGCTACATTAGCCTGAGGCTATATAACAAATTATATTTCCAATTTAGCTCTCAAAAATTAAAAAAGAAAGTCAGAAATATATGTCTGTTAGAAATAGCAAATAATTTGGTTCTAGCTCAGTTCTAATCTCGAATCTGTCAATAAGAATTTTGAAGCCAATGTATGACACAGTCAACTAATTACATAGTCTTTACCCAGTGGTTATGTGTGTTTCCATGGAAACAAATTAATATTTTTGGATCTTGGTATACAGTTTTTGTTTTGGAGCAGTCTTTTAAAACCTTTCAAGATGGCTTTATACAGCTTTGTGGAAACAAAATAATATTTTGGGATCTTGGTATACAGTTTTTGTTTTGGAGCATTCTCTTAAAAGTTTCAAGATGGCTTTATACAACTTTGTGTGGTACATGTATTCATGTAGTAACTGTATCGTTTGTTAATTGGACTTTCTCAGCTGAAAAGTTTTTTTGTTTCTTGAACAAGGACATGGGATGTTGATGACTGAGTAGTCTTGTTTCTGTCTGGTGTATGATTTAATGCTCATGACCATTGCTTCAGTAATACAGCTAATTTAGTCAAGGTATCAGACATACCATCTTCAATAGAAGACTTGATCTCGCTTTAATCACGTACATCTTATCAAGGCCTTTACCTAATACCCTGGATATATTGGCACTAATTTCGATCGGGTACAAGCCTAGCTTGTGAACCTATCAGATTTCTCGATCATCGCGAATACCAAGTCTTGTGCTTTCAAGCTAAAATGTCTACCTGTGATAATCGAGTACCAAAGTTCAAGATTTGTTCAATGTCAAGGTTTCTGTGGAATTGTGAAGTTCGGAAATTGTGAAGTAATCTAGCAACGTCCTGATGTTGTAAAACTCACAGTCGTTGCTTCAGGAACATGCAGACATACATGACATAATAACTTGATGTTGTCATGGTGATGGTTTATTTTAACATACTATGAATGAACAGATGAACTGTATGATAGAAAATGCAATTTTAAATGATCTATCCAATGAGAGTAAATTAAAGCTAGCACTGAAAACAATCATATAATTGATGATGAAAAGTAATCAATACAAGTCCCATTCTATCATTATAAATGTAGAATTTCGATTGTCATATAATAATCATCATAATAATGTGGTCTTTATAATACAATCTGAGTGGCAGAAATATTTTCATAGTTATCGCAAAAACATAAGTAAGCACATATTGAATTCAGTTAGTCCTTTGTTTATATAGAACTAACAATACTATAATAAGTCGTATAAATTTATTCAATTAAATAACAAGAAATGATTATTAATTTACAGGTTTGACTATTTTCAAACACTGATGTGTGATTTCATTTAACTTTAATGATGGATTTTCTTTTTCTTTTTTTTTTTTGGATTTTTTTTTAAGAATTTGATAATTGTCAAAAAGAATATTGTTCTGATATATTTTTATTTCAGGAATTCATTGTGAAAAAATATAGGGCTAACTAGAAGAAGGTTGTGCCATAGGCTAACACCACCTAGCCCATGTTACTTCCTAGTACAAGCTACCCCTGTATACTATATTTCAGCCACGGGACAGCCCTAGTATAGCCGCCAACCCTGAATAAACGACGGTCACAAACAATCGTATTAGTATAGATATTGAGATTATGTTATGCCTCACAAAACTAAAGTCGAAAGCAGAATAGCTTTATTTGTCGGTCTGTGGACCGTGACACAACTAATTGATAAATCTATTAAATACAGATTAGGAATTTATAGATTTTTTCATGTTGTAGTCATGTTGTGAAATATGACATCATTTCAGAAAATTGACAGGATTTGAACTCTGTATAATTTATTGTATTTGACCTACCTGGAATTTTTTTATTATTGTTTATATGTATATAAACATAATTTTATTCATAATTTGTAAATAGGGATTGTGCATTTTTTTCCGATAATTATAATTGATTCAAATGATTTTCTTTATCTTCTTTCATTTATATTTTCACAGAAACTTGTGACGTGATCCTCACTTTCTTGTTCTGTTTTCGTATGCTTGACTTATTTTTGATTGAAAAATTTTCTCTGTCCTATTGTAACAATAAGTGGCGTATTGAAGCGGGTGGCCTTTCATAACTTGTTGTCTTTATTTAACCAGACAAGCCCAATAATTGACATCCGTTTATCATCAGATGTATGTAGATATTTATGACTTCCTCAGTTACCTGAAAAAAATTAGAGATATTATTTTTTATATCATGATTTTGTAGCTCATTTTCGTAACTGCCCAGTAGTGCTGTACATATGTTTGGTGGATTCTAAAGTTGGGAAGGGGTTGGGGGGAAGGGGTTGGGGGGGGGGGGAGTGGACGTTGTCTGATATCAGTATAACTGATTTTAGAAATTTATGTCCCTCACCACCCGTTTTTAAAAATCTTGCATGGGTGTGTCTATCTCTTGGTACAATAAGATATGTCAAATATTCTATCTATAGTTGTACCTCACTAGACCGCAGTTGACTGAAGGCCAGTATTTTGGTAGAAGTTGGATGTGGTTCGTTGGCTGACTAACCAGAAATGAAATGAGGTTTAACACGCTTCTGTTTTGCTCTGACTGGGCTAATGCAGGACTAATGGCAGCTGTACAATGAATAAAAACTGTCCAAAATAAACTATATTTTGGCAAATAGTGACTACCTTTTCCGACTCTAGGTTTCAATATTGATTCACAGTTTTTTCATAAATTTTTATTTTCTGTATTTTCAGCACGATTTGTCAGTGATGACAGATGACAGCTTGCTTGATGCCAGACGGCGAGAGCTACACACAGACATGCACTCTGATTCCTCGGGTCTATATAGTAACCAGAGCAGTCCTCGTTCTCTGTCACCTAACATGGGTGACGGTGTATATGGATGTGAGTTATCTCCCATGTCGGATGTCGTTTCCCCTATGAACAAACAATGTAATGAGTCAAAAGTTCCGCTTATAAAACTTAGTTCGATAAAGTCAGCTTTTGCTAAACGAAGTCCGAGTAATGGAGTGGGAACTGTGGGGGAAATGTTCGCTATGAAGAAACGTCTGAAATTGGAGGCTACAGGTACAGATTATCCAGACACAGATATTGTGAAACAGGAGGAGATAGAAAGCAACGATAGTTACAACCAAAACAGTGTGTCGGGAACAATACACCAGTTGTTAGAATCAGGAAGAACGAGAACCCCAGTAAAATCTGAGACGAACTCATCGTCGGACTCAGAGGAAGGATTGGATTCGACACCTTCCGTTTCACCACATTCGAAATCACCAAAGGTATGTACTACTAATTTTATAATGACCTTGCCCCATTATATTGCTTTTTATTATGAGCTTCATTATTTTTTTATTTTGTATATTATAATGATTTGTCAGTGCTCAAAAGTTGTACCTGACATTTGAACTTTCTGTCACGTGTGCATAATAATAGATAGATCATACTTAATAATTACATACTAGGGATGGTGCCCGACGATAAAAAACTATATCACCAAACATTATTGATTTCAAATAAATTCAAATTACATTAATACATGTGCTGTTAACCAATTTTCATCAATTTTGAAATTCAAAAGAATAGACTTATACACCCTTTAACTTTAAGATTTGATATTCAACCAGTGTATAGATCAGATTACTTGGATTACCACAGGTCAATACCCTTTATCTGGTAATAGTTCACTATTTTTATAGTTCATCCTCTATTCATCTCTGCCCCTATTTTAGTTGCCTTACACAAAAAAGGATTAAAGATAAGTCCTTCAACATGTGGAGTGAGTGGATACTTATTATAGAAAACGAAAAGTCTCCCCTTTTCTTTAAGATGAATAAAGGTCATTTAGTGATTTTCTCTTTCAATAAAGAAGAGCTTGTATAACAAGGGGTTGGGTGTTAAGTAGATCGTTATTCTTGTCCTCAGTTACTCCCCTTGTTTGTATAGCCGGGTGGAGCGACCATCCTTCGTAACTCCTGTTTGTTCATCGTTCAACCCCGACAAAAAACCTGGGTACTTAGGTCTTTTATATATTGAAAAACTTAACGCTATTTTGACACAGTAGCTACGGAAGGTAATTGACGCGATTGTACGAGTCGAAATATCGTCCTGAAATCAGATTAAACAAAACACGCCCCATTGTCAATGTTGATCTTATTTCTACAACGGTTGGCGTGGCGATGTGAATTCACCAATAAGAGAAAGTTTAAGTGTCGACTAACAGGGTGGACTGGGCTTTAATGAAAAAATTGAGAGTCGTTCTTTTTATGGTCGAAAAGGCGTTGTATTATGATGTAAATTAATGATGAATACTCAGTCCGCAGTGAATTATTTAACAGGAATTGAAATTGAATTATTTCCTGTCGAGGAATTTTATGAAGTATTATAATCAAATATTGAGTTTTAAAGGCGAGGCAAGTCTGCACAGAATTTGTTATTTATCTTGTATCTACAGTTTGCGAGTTTGTCAACATCCTACACACCGCAATAATCTACAACCAAATTATAACATGAAGCAAATTACGATATGTGTACATTTATACTTGAAAAGGGCAGGTCGATTATTATCGCAAGGTCAATTGTAATGGTGTCAGAGCATGGTGAACTCTGTCTTAGACACTTACGTAAACCTTCTCTGACAGTGAGTTAATAATATGAAGAGTGGCAGAGAGGGGTTCACGTGGTGGGGGTGCATTGTTCCTTGCTTCTTTGGTTGGCACCTTAATACATTTCCATTACGACTTTTTGTAGTGCAGGAATTCCTTTGACGTCTGCACAGTTAGTTTTTACCCATTGAAACCATACATCTATCCTTTGGAAGTCAGTGAAGTTTAATTTTTAAGTAAAAAATTTCAAATTGCTTTTTAAGAGCCAGTGCAGGAAGTCTGCAGAACTAAACACTGACAATGCAGACAATATCGGTGTAATAAAAAATCAAAGTATGTGAGCTGCTAAATTGCAAGTGATTCAAGGGCTGTTAAGTACACTCGAGTGGGAAGTGTTATATCATGTTCTGAAAGAGAAAAACTTAGAACATCCTGACTGATGCATAGAGCAGACGACAAATCGTATCTGATTGGCAGACAATATTGACATCCGATCAATCAGAACATCAAAGTTTGTCCATGGAATAAAGTTTGTTTATATTTTATTTACGCAAAGTAAATATTGTTTATTTACATTCCATTGGATAAACAATCATTGACCTTTGACCTACTGTCATTGAGTTTTTGGAGTGCATTTGAGGTGTGACCATGTCGGTGATATGAAATGTTTGATCTGAAGCGACTCCACCTATTCTACTGTAGATAATGTAAATTTACAGTTACCGAGGAGATTTAATTCTCTTATTTCATTGGTTGATTTGACTCATCAAGAAGCTTTCAGTCAATCTTGTTAAAAGATATTATTTAAATAAAATAAAAATCTTTCGCTTTCGTAGATTGTGTCGTTATAAACACAGGTAGGGTATTTTTTATCTGCGTAAATGGAAGAGCTCACCTGTGCCACTCGAGTCAAGAGATATAAAACGTGTTCAATTTTCTTTTTTTTTGTGAATCCTCAGATGAATTTTAATTAATACTACTTCATCAAGATTTTGGATCCGTTAAGTTGTTAAAAATTGACCACAAGGATATGCAAGGATTTATGTGCAATTTAAGGATACATGTATTGATGTAACAAAGCATAGATATTAAAGTATTAATACTCTGCAAAATAAATATTTATTAATACTTTGCTCTGAAAAATACAGTTTTAATTCTTTTACTCTGCTCTGGAAAATATACATCTCTAATAGAAAATACAACCTTGGAAATCAGTGAAGTGTGTTAAAATATTGGAATCATTTGGAGTAATCATTTGGAATAATTGAGACCCATGATTGATTTTTATTCAAACCTTTTGAAGTTTGATTTTATGTGACCAAATAGAACAGGATGTTAATGACAGAAGAGAATTCACAAGATTTTCACTGGCTCTACTGGGAACACCATACTAATGTAATTCAGTTACATAATTTACATTTAAACATTCAGTCTCATATTAAATTCATTATTTATTGATTTAATTTAGCTCAAATGTTTAAGACATTATGAAAGACTGCAATAAAGATATGGCCATCTGGCAGATGTGGCGTATTGCTCTTATACATGAAGTCTTTAATTGATATGACGTGAAATCTAATTTTTCTTTCTCTTTAAAGACATTTTTCCTTTAAATTCCAAAGTTGTAAACAGGATCTCAGTTTTTTGTCCCATACAAACAACTAGACAATATCCTCCATCCTGCACCACTGACAAAGGAAAACCATGCTGAAAAATCATTGTAATCGACCTCCTTGTAAATAAGTCAATACTTTACTCACTGAGGCACTGCTGGTCCCACGATGGTAGAGTAATGAGAGATGAGGTTCCTAATCTAAGGTTATAGGGAACATATCTTTAACAGAGAGAAGATGATGCAAACTTATTTATGTAATGCTAGTCATTTGGATGTGAATCAGGCTACTGTACAATATTATCTAGGTAATTTGTACTCTATGACTGTAAAATATAGGCTTGGTCCAGGCAGAATTTTTTATAAACAAAAGATCAACTTGTGGTTATATGCAGGTTGTTTGAAGTCAGTCAGTGTAGTTGATACTTTAACAACAGGGGAGGTTTTTCCTGTATTTTAAAGGGAATCTTTCTTTAAAAAAGAAACTTGGAAAATATTAAGTACATGTACATAAGATGGATTAAAGGGCAACAAGTTTTAAATATACTTTATGTGAAATGAAATGAAATGGGGTTTAATGTCCTACAGTTCTGCTCTGACTGGGTTAATGCAGACGTTCATACGCCATACAGTGTGCCATGAGCGAAATTTTGCATGGGCAGCAGCACTATGGCCCACTCTTAAATCAAATTCCAATGCCAAGGGATCTTTTATGTGCACGCCAATGTATATTCGGGACCTTGTTTTTTCATCCCATCCAAACAACTTATACATATATATGTTATCATTTGCTGGATAAAGATAAGAGTATCATTTTCGAAACGTTGCATGTTAATAAACCAGTAATTTTTATTCCATAAATAGTGTTAGTGTGTTACTGTTCAATTACTAAATGCCACTTAAAGTAAGAAGTACTGTAAAATAGCTGTGTGTTATACTGCTCTTATTAGACTGTCACTAGTAATAGCTGTGTTATAAACTGTCCTTAGTAACTTTAAACTCAGTGAGAAGTTTTTATAATAGTATAATTATTTGAGTATATAGAGAAGATAGGAGTGGTTGTATGTGGTACTTATTGATAGATTGTTTACGTATACAGTCAGTGTCTTGTATTTCCTGGTTAAAATCTATATTATATTGTAACCATCCCCCATTATTAATTTAGCAGGAAAGTAGAAAAACCTGTACCTACAGTTAAACAATAAGTTAAGTTGTTGTGTTTGATATGGGATAGTCTGCTTCAATCATTGTCAGTATTATTGTCATTTAAAGATGCTGTTGAATCCATTTAAAGATGCTGTTTAATCATCTACAAATCAGCATCACAAGAATATAAATGAAATGACAAGGGGTTTTAAGCCCTACTTTTCTGCACAAGCCGAGCTGATGAAGGGAAGGGAAATGCAGCTTAACGTCCACTCGACACAAACTAGGTCATTTTTGAACTAACATATGGTTCAATTTTATTTCAATGAATAGCTTGCGCGTAGGGTTTTTTAGCAGTGTAAAGCAACCGGAGGACCCGAAAAAAAAATCACGAGGTTGGATAGGCAACCCTACTCCTTGTCATGTACAATCAGGGAATCAAAACCACACCAGTTGACTCAATGACAGACCTTATGATACAACACGCACACGCTAACCATTCGGCCATCCAACCCCCCTTCGAGTTCATGAAGAAAGGCATATTTTGAGCAAAATTTTGCCCTGAATGGTGCTACAGCCTATATAAATTTCTAACTGTCAGGGGATCGTTAACCTGTACCTGGATGCCTTTCTTGCCAAGACCTTGCTCCTGTACCACAGACAAGGAAAGATAAGGGTGGAAAATCTTGGGGAACTTTCTCAGTCAACAAAAGGAATATCAAAGTATAATTAAATCATTCAAACCTGTCTCTGATTTTAAAAACTGAGGTGGGGCAATCTTGAAGATGCAAATTGAGACATTTTCGACCCTTTCTATAAGGTTTTTGATGAATTTCAATGACAAAGTACATATTTGCCAAAGGTTTTACTAAATAACCTGAAGACCAAATGAAAAATGGTTAACCAAATTTTAGAGAAATTATTAATAGACATGTATCACATAAACATAAACACCAGAGAAATGAACTGAAATGGTCTTTAATGTCCTACATTTCTAAAGACTTGGGTGTCCGAATGGTCTTTTTGCTTGTATTTTAGATCATAAGATGAGTGACATGAAGCAGGGCCTGCGAGTTGTCCAGTTTCCTTCCACTGCTATAGACCCCTACCAGCCAGAGAACTTTTGAAATTAAATCATATGTTAGTCCCAAAATTACCTAGCTTGTGTTGAGTGGATGTTAAACCCCATTTTTTGCGCTCTCCTACTGTTCTACACCAACAGGGCTAATGAAGACGGGAAAACGCCATGGGAAATTTTGCCATAACAAGGAGTATCCACCTACTCTATCGTTTTCCTAATTCCAAATGTTCTGTTGCGTACATGCTAATTATGTGAACAGCTGACCTGAGTTTTTCTTACCATCAGAAAAACTATATATACTGTTCATTGCCAGGCTTCCTGTCACGCACCACTGACATTGTTAGTAATAAGAAGAAGCCCTGTTGAACTTTCTCAAAGGACTTTAATCCCCATGGATTTTAAACCCATTTCTCTCTTTTTTGAGGATGACATATTTATAGTAGATATAAAATAGTTTCACTCAGTGTGAAATATTAGATGTTTTTAAAGTACCGGTACCTAAGTCTCAAACTCACTATCATCAAAAGTCTTCGACATTGAAAACACAAATTATTTGGCAATTTAAATCAACATTGATGTTGTGATCTTACCGGGAAAAGATGTGCTTCTAATATCCAACATTTAAGACAAAATAAACATTTTACCATTGGTACACGAATCGTGTACCATAATGCGTTTCACATTCAGTGCCATTTGTAACAAGGGGCTCGAAGAACAAGGCTAGACATATTCCACAAGTCATGTCAAACGGTGATGTTATATTCTTAATCTTATCTGGAGAGCATGCGCAATTAATACTATCAGTGAAGACTGGAATAACTAGACGCTAGAGATTGCCATTCGATTGAGACTTCTGGTGGATTTTGCTGAACATAACTGATTTGAAATGATTGAATGTAAATCAGTTTATATACATTCATATTACATTATTAATATTATATGCGCTGCCACCCATTTACGTCAATTTCTAGGTCCCAAATATTAGCGATTTAGCTCCTTTAAGTGTTTTAGTTAGAGAAGAATTCAAATCGTTTTATCTGACTTACTATATAAAGGAAATAGTTTTCTATAGACAGGCTTTGTTTTGTGATAAAGTAGGCTTATGTCATGACAAGTCGTGTATGGTAGACCGACATCTTACTGTCGTCACAAAAATGTACTAAACCGGTTGGAGGAAATTTTTAAAAGGATCATTTATCATTTGGCTATTTGACCAATTTTAGATATTTATTTCCTTTAAATTGGTACTATCACTTTCAATAAAAACATATATGTAATGGAACAAAAGTATAACACTTGGCTATTTAGCAAATTACGTGGGACCATGGGTAGTCAGGGAAGAGGAGTTTTGACCGAAGAGGTCAGAATAGTTAAACTGGTTTGGCTTATAGTATGTGTGAACACAACACGATGCTGTTTTAAAAACCCCAGCGATTATGAACTGGTTTAAAAATAAGCGTCTGAACGGGCTATTAGTCTCAAAATGAGTGAAACATTATGTTAAGATGTTAAACCCATTTCCATCCATTTAGTCAATTACAGAGATAGGCTCCCTTTAAAAAATAAATTTTAAAAAGAGATTCTTACAAATTAAGTAAAACTTTTTAACTGATATCACCAGAGTAATTAAATAATCAATGTTGATAAATGATCTATGTCTCTATTATTAACACAAAGGATATAATTATATGACCGATAACAATCTAATTCTTCCATTGATAAAACTGAGAGAAATCATGTTCACTATACAAAGGTCGTTTTAAACAAAAAAAGTTATATATAGCTGGCCTTATTAATTTTTAGAAGCACTTGTCACCAAGGTTGGAATGTAGTGAAGTTTTAACAGCTCATTATCACAATGTTTCAGTCATGTTAAGACTAATATATTTTTTTTTTTGTTGTCTCATGTGCAATGCCAGGGAGTAGAATTTTGCTTTGTTTCTGTCCACTTACCGTTCTTTTACATGCATGACTATATTTAAATAGGTGAACTTTGTTTCTTCATGCCATCTGAATGAATAGGCAACACTGACCAGATCCAGAACCCGCAACCCCCACCCTCCAATGTCAGAAACTGGAATTTCAAAAAAAAAAAAAATCTGTGGCCGGCGCGGGGTGGTGCACATAGGAAACTTCACCAGGTAGATCATACAGTAAACATGTAGTAAGTTTGCAGGCGAAAATACGAAAATAAAAGATTTGCACCCGTAAATCGTTTTCCTGGTGCTCATCCTCAATGTGACAAATCATCTTGATTTCATGCTTTAAAGGATTGGGCGTTGGGTGGGGGGTGTCGGTGGCTCGCTATCTTAAATCCACCAACTTATTATGCTCAGTTTTGTTGAATTCTTTGAAGACTGTAGATTCCTAGCTTGTATGTGACAAGGAGTGGGGTTGCCTGTCCAACATCATTGGTTTTCTCCAGGTCTTCCAGTTTCCTTCCACTGCTAAAGACGCCTATGTAGAAGTGAATTATTGCAATAACATTAAACCATATATGTTAGTCCCAAAATTAACTAGTTTGTGTTGAGTGTGCATTTAAATTTTAAACCCCATGTCTCTATCTCTCTCTTATGGCTATGATGGTAGGACTGCTTGTACTGCTGTATTAAAATAGTAGATCTATATACATATCTGGTCAGTTAGGGTTCACATAACGGGTCATTATGATCTGCTATGAATAGGTTTATATTTGACCTCAGTTAAACCACAGTTGACCTTTAAACCTGCAGTAGACCTGTAAATTATAGCTGGTGTATTATAGCATGAAACAGGTTGATGTTTTATTCAACATTATTTATAAATCTGCTACCATTATGAAAGCTTCGTCTTTATTCCATAAATGATTATTATCAATTGCACAAATGGATTACAAATTCTTTGTTAATAAACCTATAACTTATGAAATGAAATGGACTTTAACGGCCTATTGTCCTGCTCCGACTGGGCTAATGAAGACGGACATACGCCATACAGTGTGCTATGAGGGAAATTTTGCCTGGACAGCAGCTTCCCATAACTTAAGAGTAAATCTATTATACATGTATTGCATGGACTGCAGTTGTTAGAGTTACTGTTGTAAGTGGTAGAGCCTTGTCTAGGAGAAACTATTAGCTTTATTTGGAGCATTATCAAATGGTGTTTAATAGTCTGCTTGGCTTAAAGCCTCTGAATGAATGTCATTTGAGTAATTGTTTATTCCTTGCAAACTATGATTCTAAACAGAACATCAGTCTCAAAATGTTTCTGTTTTATTCGGTATTTACAAATATATGACGAATTGAAAGTTTGTCAAAAATCGGCATCCACTGCAGTTTTATATCGGATATAGTCAACACAAGCCAGCGACCCCTATCATTTTCACAGGAGAACTTCTGCCAAAGATATTTTGTTTTCTTGATCAAATGTTAAATAATCAATTTAAATACATTTAGCATGGATTAAGTTGTTAAAATTTGGATATAGTCTGAAAACTACATTTGATAATTAGCATCTTTAATGTAGTTAAGGTTTATAATTGGAAACCTGGTAATAAGCCACCAATCTCTAACATAACTTTATGTGGCACAATTTCTCTGGTGTCCTTCATTCTGTGAGGCATTTTACTTCTTATATGCCCATATTTCAGTGTGGTCGTACATTGTTTCTCTTTTATTTTTAATGTTTTAATGCATGTATTTTAAAAAGTTACAAATGTCAGGTACTATACACATTGTCTGACAATTTATCCGGTACTTCTAAAATCATTATTTTCAGGTCTGTTGCCTATGTGTTTTGTTTTCTTCTCCTTCCTCCATCGTTGTATTGTACTCCATATTTGATGAGATCATTATGTCGTTACGTTTACTTCAGTGTTTTCACAAACAATATGTTCACATAATATTTTATTTGTATTCTTCCAGCCTGTACAAACAGAACCAGTTGATTTATCTATGAATAAAAGAATTGGATTTATTACCTCCCCTGAACATGAAACACAAGAAGGATTGGACCTTCGAGTTGCCAAAAAAGGTTAGTGCTCAAGTTGCAACACCCCATTAAATATACATTTGAACATTTATTATATATAGAATAAAATGGGGTGCATATTAATACTGTTATTAAAGTACAGTTTTATAAGAGCCATTTCTACCGATTATACTGTCTGGGCTCTTGACTAACTCTCAAGTGAAATTGATTGGCTAAGGAATTTACCAGTCAGTCCATTTACAAACCAAAAACTTACATATTTCATAGAATTGAACCGTAATGACAATAAATACAGTAACATTTTAAAACACATGAAAAACCAACTGCCTTGCTAGGGATAGGGGTCTGACATAGACATTTTGCCCGTTTACCAATCTTCCATTCATTTATAGTGAATAAAATATGTCTTTAAAAAGCCCCAAAAAACTGCCTTGCTAAATTTTGAAGCTAGAGTGCTGAAGCAAGTAAACAAGTCGTCCGTCCACATCTCCATAGCTTAGTTAATCAGTTAATGAAACATGGTAAAACAGAAGTTTTATTCAGAAAGAAGTTTACAAAGATAATATTTGATGATTTTTGTTTATTTCTAGAAGAAGAAGTTGGTGGTAGTAAAAGAAATGTTGGTCTTTTGTCTTTACGTAGAATAAAAGAAGCTTCTGAGTAAGTCAACAATATCTTCTTTTCTTATCGGTTTTTCATTGAATGAAGGTTTATATTATGAAATTTCTTATCCAAAATTAAGAAAAGGATGTTAAAATGTCAGTCAATCCTTCCATCTGGCCATCATTCCAGCCAAGTTTTGCTCAAAGAACATATGTAACAAATCATTCAAGATATGTTTATGAAACTTTGTATACATATCAGCTTTATAGTTTTTATGTCTTACTGATTACAAATTTCCATACACAAAATTTAACTTAATTTTTGGAATACAAGGACGGCAGATTTTGATGAGTTAGTCTTCTTGTAATTTTATTAGGTTGTAAAATTAACCAGACTATTTTGCAATTTCAGGCAGTTTAGTCGATTAGATAATGGAACAAAAAACCCTTTTATTATACCACCAATCGCAAAAATTGACCCTTATCTTGAGAACCAGAAGAAAAGACGAGTACATCGATGTGATTTCGATGGATGTAACAAGGTCTACACAAAAAGTTCACATTTAAAAGCACATCGTCGAACGCATACTGGTAAGTACTGGATTCCCAGTGTAGTCCTCGGGAGAGAGACTTATCACAGGGTGGTCTTCGGGTGAGAGCTTTCGCTTGAACTTGAGACTTGATACATTCATCAGCGTCCCTGTTAATGAATTTATAGACAGCGATTAGTGGGCGTTGAAACTTGTGAAAATATATGTGTAACATATGATCTGCAATACAAGATAATAATTTGGCAAGATTTTTTCGACCTTATTCTAGGGTACATAAGTGCTTGTTATTTAACAAATGGGGAGCCACGGTGGCTCAGTGAGTATGTCACTGACTCACTAAGCCACGGCAGTTGTTCAGAACAGGGCCTAAAAATGAAAAGTGACTAGTCATTCAGATGGTACCAAAAATATATGTATACTATTAGCTGCAAGTTAAAAATCCCTTACAAGCTGGAAATTAAAATAAGATTTTCAGTAGTCTTTAATGCAAATTTTTCCTCACAGCATATGCCCACTTTCTTTAGTCTGGATGATGCCTTAAATTAAGACCATAAATCTCATTGAATTTTATTTGATTTTTTAAAAAATCAGTAAAAAGAGTATTATATTTTATATTTGTAGGTGAAAAGCCATATGTATGTACATGGGAAGGATGTACATGGAGATTTGCTCGTTCAGATGAATTAACGAGACATTATCGAAAACATACTGGTGATAAACCATTTAAATGTCAGGTGTGTGATAGAGCGTTCTCGCGCTCTGATCATCTATCACTACACATGAAGCGACACTGAAGGTAACTGTCTTATGCATATTTACATTTATTTATATCGATGGTGTTGCGATAGTTGAGCGTTCAGGGCATTGTACAAGAGTAGAATATTGTGAGTTTGGCTCTGGGCTTTGTTTCGGCGTGATACCTGCGTGTCTGACAAGACAAGTGTGCCTATTTGTGCCTATATAGCAATATACATCATTGTATATGCTTTGTGCAGTATAGCCCATTTGGTGCTGATGTGACAAAACACACCATTCTGTTTCATATTCTTTTGACTTGGGGGAATTGTTTTCTTATAACTAAGAATTTAAAAATCTTAAGTTTGAATTACTTAGAAAAACAAAGATATTGTTTTTGCCTAGTTCGCCAGAATATAAAGTCAATTAATTCATTTTAATCCAAGATGCATGTTTATATTTACAGACGTGAAGTAGCCCAATTGTGGTGTCTTTGTGGAAATTCCTCATACATCTGATGTATGTGCAGATCATGTGTGCATTTTTCACGTTTCCTCTAGGAAATTTCGCCGTGTCAAATGGTTGACCTTGATTTGTGGTGGCCTTGAGCTGTTTGTTATGGTAACAGTTGCCAGGCAGCACTTGGTTGTTGTGAATCAGCAGACTTTCTATTTGTTATCAGTCTGTGTTTTGTTGTCTGTTCAAAAGAAACATCATACAGGGACATAACTCTCGTGGTATATATTTAACCAATGATATCGTTTGTAAGAAGCCTGTGTGAACCATCATCATATGAGTTGTAAGCTGTATTTTGATTGACTGATTACAGTATGGATGTTCTTTATATAAATTGATTGACAATTGGATATGAATGGAGTGATCTTGATCCCTGGAAAATATCATGAAGTGCTGAAATTGATTTATGCTGCTGATTTAAGGCTGAGGACTTCCATCTTGTTTCCTAGGCAACGAATAGTGTTGCAGAGTTAGTGCTGCCCTCTATAAGTAAAGAGGAGTAACTCTGTTTACCCAGATTATTTCTGAGTTGTACCTTTGTTATGATTATACAATATTGTTGTAAATATTCGAATATCCAATATACATGTACTACATTATTATTTTTATTTTACTCGTCAAGTCAGTTTTACTTAACATCATTACCATAGAAACCAAACAACCAAAGAAAAATACTTAATTTCATAAAAACTTGAAATAAATTACATCTTTTGGGAGTATTTTTTTTGTTTTTTAACAAAACCATATCATAACCATTTCTACATTATGTGTGATTTTTACAATGCTCAAACAATCATTATTACGAATACAGAATACTTAATTCAATCTGATTTGTGTTAAATTAAACTTTTGATTTTGTGTTTTCAAAACAAAAAATGTTGGCCTAATTTCATTTTGGTTCAATTAATTAGTAGACCACAATTTTGACAATTAATAACCTGACCTTTGACCTATACAGGTCGAATGTCATTAATTGTAAGTATACTGACACAAGAGATGTACATGTCTATGTTTAAAATATAGTTTTAATATTTTGTAAAGATAAACAACCCAACCAATTTAAAGATTTTAATCAATTTGCCATTGAATTAATCCTAGTCATTTAATATGAATCATGTAAGTTTGTGAAACTATTGATTGATTACTGTTTTGTTTTGTTAAATTTATATTATTATATAATTATATCAATTAACTAATATTATTACTTTGTTTAACAAACTAAGTTGGGTTTTTTTGTAGAGATTTTTTTATATATCGTATTTTAGAAACCATACAAGATAGTACATAAACACTTCCACTAGTGTTGACTGCTGAACGAATAATTTACATGTTGGCATTTTTGTAATTCAAGTATTTTATTATTGAAACTGCTGCTAAATATTTTGATAATTTCATTTACTGATGACTTAATGATGATTTTTCTTTACTGATGACTTAATGATGATTTTTCTTTACTGATGACTTAATGATGATTTTTCTTTACTGAAGATTTTCATTTACTGATTGCTGATGATTTTCATTTACTCTTGATTTTCATTTACTGATTACTGATGATTTTCATTTGTTTTTCAATTACTGTTGCTACAGTTTATAAAAATATAAGGAATCATCTTTTAGAATGAAACTCTGCAAATCCTTTTCCATACGAAAATATGAATTTCTCCCAGTGTGATTTAGTTGTTATTCACTTTTGTTTTTTCATGATCAAGGATTTGTTAGAAATTATTTCCAGGCATTGATTCCCATGTTGAGAATAGATATTAAGTTTACCAAACTTATTGATGAACTTAGAGAGGTAACTCTAATTATTTGACAAGGGCTTGGATTTCTCTATCAAACATTACCGAATTTAGGTTTGAGCGGAAATTTTATTTGCCTGAACAAATTTATATAGATATAATAACCATTGATACAAATGTAGTGATAGTTGGTTAGAATTACCCTTTTGTTTGTCTTTCATCCATTGTAAAATACCAATGTTCTTATTGTACAAAATAATTATTAATATTAACCAATCATCTTACTGTAAATTATTTACTGCTCATATTTGTGTAATACTCAGAGAATGATGATGTAACCATATTATGTGTATTTATATTTGTTGTGTACCCTAACTACACAAAATAAGCTGATATGTTATTGATTTTGCTATTTGTTAAACAAAAAAAAGGAGAATTGGAAAAATAGATTTAATTTTGTAAACGGCAAATACACAACAAAATTTGTTAGCTGTGGTATTCGATGGTGTAGAAAGTATAAGCATACCTTGCATCAAACATAGCACCCATCAATACAATTCTGAATACAGATTCTTGTAAAAAATTCTATAGCTGTATATTGAAAATTCTAAATCTGTATACCTTCAAGAATTCTAAAGCTTTGTATTCAAGAAGTCTAAAACTATACAATTACAAAAGTTACTTGTTGTTTTCATTAGTAAATATATTTTTCCTAATATTCTCCAATATATATGTTTATTATTAAGTTTTGTTGATTTAGATTTTTTGTGATCTTCCAGAGATATGCGTCTTCCAGCGCTGTAAGTTTCAAGCGTAAATGTCGGATTTGAACTTGGGCTTATTCTATATCAAACACCTGAAAATTAATTGATGGTTTTATTGTGTGAACCATAATTTTGTATGAGTGTTTTTGGGTGAAAAAATTTCTGAGTACATCTGGAATTGTTAGCTAATGTATTGAATCTTCACAATTCATTGAAAAATGGAATCAGATGTTCTAGAAAGAATAAACATACCCTGTCTCATGCACTACATCTGTTATAGCCAAATAAACCATGGGGCCAGGTCAACCTTTTTTGTTCCATATTTAAAATGTTTAGTAACTGATTTACATTCTGTAACAATTTAAATGGTCAATGTTAGATATTTTACTTAATGAAATGATTTTTATATCGGTTATAAAGAGTTTGACAAGAACAAGGTAGATGCATGTACGTAGAAAATCGCACAATGGAGTCTCCCGTTTTAATCCTTTAGCATCTAATCTAGACATAGAACTAGCTGAAAACTACTATTCATTTATCACCTCAAACCATCCGAGTCATGTGACTAGTAATGAAATATTTAAGGATCGTAATAGTGTGGGTGGTGTGAAAAGTGTTTTTTAAATCGAGTGCCATAAAGCTTACTTTTCTCAAAGTAACATGTACCCAGGGCTAAGGGTTAATTCTGTTTATATCAATTAATTTAAATGTAGACCAAAATTTACATATATAAAGAATAATATGATTAGTCATTACCAGTTGAAGAAGAAAATGGCTTAGATAGATGTTCCTCCCAGTTTCTCAATACTTAATTAATTGTCTTTCATCTTTTTGAATTTTTAAAAAAAATTTAAATACTAAATAATGGAATAAATTGAATGGCTTTGTTAGGTTTCTAATCGCCAACCTAATTACCCCATTATGTAAGTTTTTCTCATAAGAATCTTTTTAAAGTCATACAAACTAATGTAAGAACTAAATGGGTGTGTCAGTGCTAATAAGTTTCATTCATAGATAAAGAGATAGCATCTGAATGTGCAGACAAGATTAGGCAACTAATTAACAATAAGGTCAGCATAGGGTATGTCTATATGTTATTGGAATCGTTGCGTCTGCTGCATAGAACAATCGTAATCACCATTTGTTTAAGGCAGACCAACAGGTTGATTGTATAGAAATGGACGAAACTCTACAATTTGCAGGTATACTTGTTGAACTAGTCTACTTTGAACGAGTTCAACAAGGCGTATTTACCTGTTTTATTGAGATGTGTAAATTTGTTGGGGTATTTACGTTTGTGGGTGTGTGTTTGTCCTTTCTCCCTACTGTCCTTAAATGACTCGGGACGCACCCAAACCACACGTTGTAATCAAACTTCAAGTCATGTGATCCATCGCCGTGTAGCACCGCTAAGCAGACATGTGCGATGATTTGTTAGCCTAGAGATTGAAACGTAAACGCCAAGATAGAGTATAAAGAAGTTAACATGGACATAGAGTCAACAGACAGTCACTGAGAGAAAGCAGCTCCACGTGCCTGTCTGGTTAATTGAGAGTTTATTTACACCAATCGGTGAAGGAGATTTAAAGGAGACACTATGTATATATGAGGCGTTAATTCTTCAGCTTCTGGCCGGCAATCGGTAGTTGAAGTAGAAAGAGTACCTGAAGATCAATATTGACATGAACCACGCCCTGATTGTTCAACCTCGGCACAGGTGAGAGGCTTTAATTGGTAAAATACCTCAAATGGATAATCTACCCAGATTTAGTCAAAAGAAAATCTCTTTGAAATCTTTCCTAAATGATGATGATAAGTTAATATTTACAAAATATGAAAAGAAATTTAAAAATTGATGTAGACAAGACTTACCTATTTTCACTCCTCCCTCAGTTTTTATACTAGACTCCACTGACCTGTACTTGTGACTTCAAATAATTGCAAAAAATATTAATAGAATTTTATTCATTTTATGTCAACATTAAAGATTTTTTTTATATTTTAAACATTAGAGTTTATGTCGACATTGATGATTTTTTTATTTGAATAAATATTAACAGGGATGGGTCTCCGGATTAAATTTTGTACGACATTTAATCAAATATTTGATGTATTAATTAAAACGACTTGCCTTTTATTTATTAATTTTAGATTATGCTTTTTTTATATCTAGCAACTGTTTGAATGGGATCCAAGTATGTGGAGCTAATGCTAACAAAATATCCTGCGCAAAAAATGAAATGTTGTGAAAAACCTTTAATAGGGAAGCGAAATGAAATGGTGTTTAATGTCCTACTTTTCTGCACGTAATAAGATGATACAGAAAAATAGGATATTAGACCCCATTTCATTTTCATTATTTCTGCACTTCAAATTCTGCCATTAATCCATTTAGGCTGTGGTATATATATGTTGCTCCTTATAGACTGGGTTTCATTTAACTTGTTAGATGTAATATTTAAAAATAATTTAAATAGTAGTTAGTATTACATATGTATTTGTGCCATTATTTAAAAAAAAAACGGACAGTAAGTAATTTTTATTTAAACTTTTATTCTATTCATTTAGATTAATTTAATAAGTCAATTAATTGCCATCGCAATCTAGTTAATGAACAGATTAAAATGTATTAATGCACTTGTCTTGCCAATGGAATTATCTGTTTCTAATCTGTACAATAAATGTTTTTTAATATATTATGGAGTGTCACAAAATTTCCACGCTTGCGTTGAAACGAAGAACACGTAGATAGATCCTGAGAAACCCACCCACCTGATGGGATAATAAAATGTTGATATACTGGGTTGGCAAAAAAAATGTTACCCACTCTGAGAAGGGCTGCATGGATTGAGCATGTCATTAATTATTGAACCGTGTTCAGAAATAGTGACAAAATAGACTATTAGCATCCAATAAAAACTTCATGCGTTTGTGACATTTTTCTGAAAAAAATATTCACATTTGGAAAAAGCAGTTTACAATCAGAATGGATAACATTTTTTGGGCCCACCCTGTATTTTCATTCATGATTTCAATAAGAACTGAAATTTAATTTATCATTTCTATCAGTGGTGTCATTCAACCCACCCAGTGAGTTTGAACGCAAGTGTTGAGATTTTGTGGCGGTCCATTAAGGTTATGGCTATATAGTACACTTAACTTATTGTTTAGGTTTTGCGCACTTAATTTAGCTTAAGTCAGATTTTATATTTAAATATTAGATTTTAGTATCAAGGTTAGAAGTTGATTAAAAGTAAATATGGTACATAAATATTTTAATAATCATAAGGGTTAAAAGTGATCAACTTTAAAACACTAAAGTTTGACAGTAGCTAAAGGTAAAAACAGTAGATGGCCTTGAGTCTGTATTACTGTAGGTTCTATTCATTATGCGGTTTTATTAGATCTAAAAGTTACCGGACTAAAAATGTGGCTTGAATGAGTTGAGTATAATAAATACAACCCCCAAGGGCAGAGGACTTTTTACAGGTCCCAGGCTTGATTGTAAAGCAGAACATTGGTCAAATTCGCATAAGTAGCTGTCCAAACAATATTATTGATATTAGTTTTAAGATGAAAATGGTTTCTTCATTTCCTTATTGCCCATCAACATCATTCACTGTAAAAATTCATTTGTTTATTTTGATTTTATTAAGATAATCTTTAAATTTTGTTAGAAATTTATGATTTTTTTATCTGATTTTGGTAAACAAGAATTAAATTAGCTGATGTTAGGTACCGTATATTAGACGATCTTGAGATATTATAAAATAGACTACAATTTGTTGGCTTTTCAATTTTGTCATAGATTTAGTTTGTATAAAATTGATTCCAATATTTTTTAAGATAATTACCTACATTTGATGTATAGAACTTTGTTTACGAATTATTGAATTAATTGTATAATTTATTTTTTGGCTAATATTTATTTGGGCGTATAAAGTTGTTGATGATTGGGCTATGCCTTAACAACACCTGAAACTGAAATTGTATGTTTTTGCGCCCGTGTCATTAGTGATTGCAAAATCTGTCCACCAATTTTTTTTAACACTGATGTGAACTGTTTGTACTATGCGAGTGATGGAATGATTCTAATCCTAGCTAGTGTACTTTGTCCCTAGGCATGTACATAGAGCTTTACTGATGCTTAGGACCAACCCATTGATAAGAAAGAAAGATATTTTAAATTTATCCAAATTCAGTATGGCAGCCTGTAAACAAAGTACATGCATCAAATTTTAATTTCATTTTTTGATTGGATGCTACATTGAAATGGAAGCATGCCTACGTGCCTCTGAGTTAGTCCAATGATAATGTTGTAAATCTGTAACAATAATGGCCTATATAGAAAATGTTTGGTTCACAATTTATTTCATCTAGGCATTGATCACCTTTATTTTATGTTTATCTTTAACTTGTCAAAATATTTTATAGGTGACTTCATTAACAATTTTGTTGTTTTATTTTACCCTATGATTCATTTATAAATTGAAACCCGGTTATTATCTCTCAAATCATGTTTCCATAGTAACCATGTCTCAATCCCCACGAGATTTGTATATGATGTCATTTCCTGTTTAAAGATTGATGTGTATGATGTCATTTCCCACTTAAAGATTGATATGTATGATGTCATTTTCTGTTTTAAGATTGATATATAAATATACATACATGTATGATGTCATTTCCTGGTTATAAGTGTCTCTATATTTAACAATAATAACATTGAAAAATAAATTAATATATACATACAATTTTTTTTTTCTTTTTATTTCTTTTGTTCGGTATTTGAATGGTTATAGAGTGTGTTTTAGATCTTAAGGTCTGTCATTGAGACAAGTGCTGTTGTTTCGATTCCACGCTTGTATGTGATGAGTTGGGTTGCATGTCAAACCTTGTCCTACCACTCCTATAGACCCCTATGTGCATGCATATTATTGAAATAAAATTGAAAGATGTGTTAATCCCAAAATGACCTAGTTTGTGTCAAGCGAATGTTAATTAAACCCCATTCTCTCTCACTTTGGTTCAGCTGAATATCCTGACTGAATGACTGTTGTAACGAGGGTGATTAACAGCTTTTAACATCCATTTTAGCAATCAACTTTTGATTATGACATCAAGTGAACAACAGGACTGGATAATCATCTCAAAAACAACAAGCCATTTTCTCAAATTTAGATGATAAACACAACACATGCTTTTTATGAAGTTTGTCCTTAGAATATACTGTGTCTTGAAGGTGAACAAAACTGAAATGAATTCACTATGACCTCTATGCTGTCATACTGGTCAATGTATAGACAGTGGACCTTGGTTTACCCATGGCCAGTCACATCTACACTGTCAGTGACAAGTGAGGTGTGCCAATGTCTAGTTCTCTCCACCATATTTATTTTACATGTAATTCAGAATTCCAGATCATTCAATCATTACATTCAGCATATTCTTAATCAGTTGAATGTTACTGATGATTCGCCTTCACCACCAACACACAACCACAAACAGCCAGTTTAAAAAAATGAATTGAAATGAAATAGGGTTTAACATCCTACTGTTGTGCACCGACTGGGCTAATAAACACAGGCATGCTATACAGTGTGCTATGAGGGTAATTTTTCCCTGGATATTGGCACTATGGCCTGCTCTTATATCAAATATCAACTGTCAAGGGTTCTTTTTCGTGCATACCAATGTTTACATGGGACCTGGGTTTTGGTCCCATCAGAACGACTATACATTGTCCCTTGCCAGGCCATCCGCCAATGATAAGGAGGAACCCGCCGGAAAACAGTTGAAAAAAATACATATCTGAGACGCTGACCAGTAGCTTGCATAAAAGAACTACTGAGTGATGGACTGGCAAGAGAGATGGCAAGAACCATGTAAAACAAGAACTTATTTAGATACAAAGGAGGGATGGTGTTGGTATGTCCTTTAACCCTTAAGTACTTGGAAATATTATTATTCATCTTCTATAGGGCTTCATTATATTCGGTGATATTTCTAAGTGCTTTACAAATGTCACATCACAATTTGTAGTAATATTTAAACGTGTGTTTTTAACTCCGATTTAAATTTAACAGAAATTAAAATTTTTCCACATGTGGGCCATAGAAACAAATTAATCAAATGAGAAATTTCTAATCAGCAAAAAAGGCATTTTACTAAAGTTTCATAACGATATACTACATGGTTTATGAGATATGCTCCAGAATAGTAATTATATACCAAAAACTAAGTCAAATTGTTTCCATGGATACATAACAGTTGAGTATGACACCGGTTCACGAAGCAGGAGGTCTCAGACAGGTGGTGTTCGACGAGAAACTTCCTCAAGATTTAATAGTACTGTGGATTCCCCTTGTCAATGACACAGAATGGAGGCATGGCAAGAAAACATGTATAGTTTTTTAGATGGTATGAAAAATGGATGTCTTGTGTATTACATCAAGCAGCATGTTTAAGATCCACTGACAGTTGGAAATTAAAATGGCCGTAGGCTGTGGTGCTGCCTTCAGGGCGAAATTTTTCTTGTGGTACACTACATGTCCATCTTTATTAGCCTGCTTAATGCAGAGAAGAACAATAAACTCCATTTTGTTTCATCTGAGTTTTTTTGTTCTTAATCTGCAGTTTTAATTTTGACATGAGATATAATCTTTACAAACACATCTTAAGATCCATTTAATTTTTATATAAATTTATTCTTTACTTTGGTATTTATTACTTAGAAAATATAGAATTTATACAAATTAGAGATACATGCATGTCAACAACTCATTTCACTGAGATAATGATCCATTTAAACTGAATGTTCAGGGGCAGCTTGTTTTTATGTTGTTCATTAAAGACTGCTTCTGTTGATATAATTTTATAATTTATATTTGAAGGTTAATTATTAACAAACAATAAAATCATATAGTAACAAAACAGAATTATTAATGTCCAGAATTAACATATTCTCTCAGAAAAAGTCTGACAAAATAAGAAAATGGAGAGGAGTGACATAAACCAATCCACAAGGATGACTTGACACCATTAAGAACTTTTAAATGGAATAACAATTACTGGTTCATTAGTCCAGTTACCATTTTTATTACTTTAACGAGGGTACTCCGATTTTCAATAATAATGAAGTAATTGTTATTCCATATATAAGTATCAGTGTGTTACTAAATGTAAATGTCACTCAAGTAGTAAGTGCAGGTGATCTGGATCACACATACAGACAAATAAGATAAACCCTGTGGACACGGAAATTACAAGTAATAAACAATAAAAGTACTATAGTATCAAATCAAGGCAATCTACAAACTCAAAACAGGAAAACAACACACATATTCATAGTGTGCATTAGTTTACTTGTACTATAGTAGCAATACATTGACTCCCATATAGCCTATATAGCTCTCCCGAGTTAAGCCTACATGTATATATACTCTTCAAAAAAAGTAGGGGATATTCAGAAACAATACAAAACTGCGGAAATGCACTGCTGTTTTTATTAAAGGTAACCAGTGTATGTTAATAACAGGCCAGTTGCCTACACGTGAACATAAACAGTTCATATGGGCGGCTTCTCTGACGGCCCCAATTTCACTCGCAAAGAGATACACTGCCAAAAGTGAAAATGGACGTTTTTGATTTTTGTCTTAATAATGAGTAATTGCTCCACCAATTCTCAGACATTCAGCAATTCGTCGTGGCATGCTCCTAATCAACCGTCCAATCACGATTTAGGGCAATCTGGCCCACTCCTCTTGCAGTGCCAAGGCCAATTCTTGCAGTCTTGTCGGTTGACGTTGTGTTACAAGTCTCCCGATCAAATTAAACGTAACACACTAAAGCAAAGGTACACTAAACAGTAAATCTTACATATGCAAGAACCGATAGGAAAGCAAATGGCAGTTTTCATCAACCCTTCCTTGAAGTGTCAAATTTGACAATGAACCCCTCCCACGTGTATAGCGCTATTGCGTGTCACATGTACAGCTCAGTGGTTCTGTTGGGGCGATAAGTTCTTCATCTGTGAGCATACTCTCAAAGCATGTCAAGTGTCCATGACTATTTATCATATCACAACCTGCATAGGTATTTGCATTTCAATATCCCCTATTTTTTTTTGGAAGAGTATAGTTCTCCAGAGTTATATAGCTCTCCAATTGGGAGATCTAGAAATAGTATGAAGTAAATTAGTTTCAGTATATATATGGAAGACAATAAAAATATTATAATGAACACTTGTATCAAAATATCTTGACAAACATTATTGACTACTACGCCTGTATCAACAAATATCATTAACTGTGGATGGTGTGTCCTTGTATTGCACTTTTATTGGCTTCAAATTCAAAATATTGAAGCACTTCAGCTGTTGCAGATGTTTTTATATTTTATTCATTTTCTGGTATTGAAATATTTTCACCCTTTCACAACCCAAAGTATAAAACTTTTGTCCTTTAATTAACAAATTAATACAATGTACAGTGTATGTGATGTCATGTTGTCACAGTAAATGAACAAACCAGCAGAAACAATTTGCTCTTTAATTTTTCCATGAGTGAAACTATTTTAATACTGTACATGTATGGGAAATTGTCAGTCCCGTTAACTACGAAAAATACTGTGAAAAGTTACAGGGATGATAACTCCATCATTTATGCTTTATATAGTCTTAAATTCCAATGGTTATGCCACAATGATCCGTTCCATAAGTTTAAACAATGAAGAATTTTGTTCTGTTTCACATTAACAGAGATTTCCAATATTTCACCTTCATGTAAATAGTATGGTAAAGGTCTGCAATGGCTGCCTAAAATATTCCTCTGGATGGTAAAAGGAGCCATGAAACAAAGAAATTTTTCGCATGAGTTTAGTATAAAGGGAAATAACTCCATTTAATAACATCGCCATAATAATTATCAATGATTTATAATATCAAGTAAAATTGATTGACTATTTCCTGATAACAAGCCAAATTGTAAAATTCAAATATGTATGTTGCCTGTACAATCTTGTTGGTTTTCTCTGAGTCTTCCAGCTTCCTTCCACACTGCTAAAGACCCCAACGCACAAGTGAATTATTGTCATGAAATTGTACCATATAACCTATTTTGTGTCAAGTGGGTGTTAACCATTAAACCCATCTTTCTCTCTCTTAATTTCAGAAATACAAATAATTGTTCATTTAGCACTAATATCAACAATTCAATAATTAATCAACAATTACAACCATGTTTAATTGATTATCCAGCTGCCATTTTTTTTTTTGCTCAAAGCTCAGTACTTGCCATCCATCATCAACATACCATAATTACATATTCAACATCAATTCTTAATTAGGCTACGTATCAAAATTCATTTACATCATAAACTCTCAATTCTTAAATTCTGATTAAAAGTTAGAACTTATAATTCAGCCTCCATGCTTACTACAACCTTAAAATAAGACAATCATGTGATCTCTAACATAACAGATATCAAACCAAAGCTTTCTTCCACCCACTTTCACTACATGTACTATGTACATGAAGTAGTGGTGGGTCGATTCCGGTATCTAGTCAAAATACAGGCCTCCTTGCAATACATTATTACTCTAATCATTGGGCCTATATGTTCTAATGTACAATAGTTAGGCCCACATTGTCCATGCACTAAAACATATGTATACTCTGTTATAATTATTTCAACTTTGCCAGTCTCTTACTCCAAAAACACACACTGCAAAGATTGTAAATTAACAAATCGTTGCAT